ATACCGGTAATTATTTATTTACTGGATTTAGGCTAAGGAAACTTTATGCACGGAATGGATGTACGATGTAGATCATCATCTCGGAAATCACGTGACAGTAAAATCGATCCTACGCCCTGGCATAGTCTAGCTGCATGTTCTATTTCACCACAATTATGGCATTTAAATTCTTTTCTCTCTCATTTATAATTATTTTGAGGTCGTCCTCTTCTATAAAAATTGTTACAGGGACGATTTACCCTTGTATTCTTTATTTGTGCAGTTAAAGCTACATAATTTACTGTTAAATTTTCTATACTTTTCTTTAGGTCTCTTAATTCATCCCCTACTTGTCGCTGTACGTTCACTACTTCAAAAGATTGTTAGCCATAATTTCCTCTAGCTTCAACCCTTTTTGTGGCATCGATTGCTTTGTCTAAATTTCTAGGTGCGGCTATGGATACTAAAGTGGCATTATTGCCTTTCAAGCCATTCAGAAACATTCCGATGATAAACCCATCCAAAAAGCCATTATCAACATTAATCCTATTAAGTAACTTAGTAAATTTGGTGGCATAAATATCCACTTTCTCTGTATCCTTTTGTCTTAATTCATACAGTTCCATCTGCCAACGATGTTGATGTTCCTTGGGGCAAATTTTTCTACAAATAAATGGTAGAAACTTTTGCTTTGATCTGCTTCGTTATCATCTTTTACCTTCCAGTATTCTATATTTTCTTTAACTCTCTTATACCATACAGCCGCCATTTCTTTTAGATATCCAGACGCGATCTTTATTAAACGATCTTCGGACCAATTATTGGTATTTAACGCTCTTTCGAAATCATTAAACTATTCGAAAGGATCCTCTTCGTCAGTTTCATAAAAGTACTTAATTTTCACCATATTACTTTCCTTTGGTGAGGTTTTAATTTCTTCCTTTTTAGTCAAAGCTTCCATAAACTTATTAAATTGTTCTTCATTCATTTTTTAATAGGTATATAACGCAAAGGTTTATGAAGTTTGAATCTCACAGTCACTACCAAATGTTACGGGGTGAATCGTATCCTTTACTATGGAAAATACGAAAATAGATAGTTTTAGGTGATTAGGCAACTCGCCAGAGACATGACGATGGTGATTTAGCAATAGTTTAGTTTTAAAATGATATTATCAAGGTGATTTATTCAATGTTATAGGGTAATAGTATTAGAATCCCGTAGGACCTTACTTTACAAGAGAGAAATTACAGGGTTTTTATAACTTTTACTAATCTAACAATCTCAAGAGGCTTTGGGATAGATCAGATAAATCAATCTTTCATCACGAAAGATCGAAGAAGGATCACTATAACTAAAGAGGCTTACAATGATAAGTACAACATTGATTATAATAATAAGGCTTTGCTTTTACAACATTTCTATTTTAACTATTATAATTATTCTTGATTCTTGTTTTCTTCTCTTTAGATCTTCATTCGTTCTTCTTGGAATTCTTTTTCGGATTTCACGTAGGTTATCTTTCCGTTATTTAGCCGGTAAGCCTAATGCACTAGTCGATCTGGAATTCCGATGATCGATCTGCATAAAGTCATAAGTTTGCTGCGCCGATTTGTCGATCTACCTTTTAGCCCGTGACATTAGATGTACATCGTATAATTACGCAGATCCAGAAATGCCTAAAGTATAATGTCCTCAATAAAAAGTTTAGAATCTATATTACCGTATAGGCGCGTAATAACGCACATGGGCGTTATTTCGAAATTTCGATTTTTTTAAAAATGCCATATTTGACTCTCAAAATAACGCGCCCCTCCATATGTACCAGATTATCATTCAAGAAAATAGTTGAAATTTTTTCAAAAATTAGCATAATGATTCGAATTATCACGCATGCGCGTCACGAAATAACGCGCAGGGGCTCGAAATAACGCGCCCCTACGCGTTATTACGCTTCTATACGGTAACATAAATTTAAGATAAACCTTTTCCACTTTTACATGTAATTTTTTTTTTTGTTATATCAATATATTAAGTTTAAAACTATATAATAAGCTATATTTTTTTTGTATTTAAAGTCGCAAAACAAGGACACAGAAATTATTTGATTTAGTGGATTAAACAAAATCGCGCTAAGTCACATAATTTTACTTCATTTATATTATATAAATGTATTTTCTGCGGTGATAAAATACCAATTTCCTCCATGACAAAGATAAATTCTGCGTATTTAAAAGATATTATTGCAAGAAAAGATTATTTTAAAATGGTTGAATGTGCTTCTAATATTTTAGAATTTGTATTTTTCCCGCATCAATGATTACATTCAAAGCTTTAAAAATAATCTTTAAACTTTTCTATAGTATATTTTTACGTTTACTAAACCACATATACATATGGATGGGGTGAAATTCATTTTCAATTTTTTAATTTCAACAATAATTTCTACAATAATTTCAATATTTTTAATATTTCTATAAATTAAATATCAAATAACTATTTAATTTAATTTAGTTTAGTTTCTATAATATAAATTAATTTTTAATATTAATTTCACCAATTTCACCATTCAATAATTTCAACAATTCAACAGAAACTTTTTATTAAAGGGTAATTTCACCCCCATCTATACATGTACATCCGTCAATAAATTTTTTTTCATAAAATTACAGGATTATTGTAAATTTTGGCATATTTGCCCAATGCCCAAATAGTGAAAATAAATTTATAATTTGGATAACTAATTGCGCAATTCTTGTTAAATACCCCTTCTATAGCCTCCTGTTTCCATTCGCCTGTTGGTAATTGTCGTGATGCAATAAGCTATAAAAAAAAAGTTTATATAATAAATATACCAATATAAATGCTAATTTTGTTGTGCTGCACTTTTACACTATTAATAAATCGATATATATACCTTAATACCACGTCGAATTGGTTCCTCATTTGGATATTTACCTGCCATTAAAGCAAGCAATGCCCAGGCAGTGTTTACAACTTGAGAGGTTTTATGGTGTACATAAGTTCCTGTTTCACATGACTACTTATAAGCAAATAAATAAATAAATATATATTCTTGAATATAATAATTAAAAATAAAAATTTTGAATACAGTGATATAACCTTATAAGATTCACCCCAACCACCATCTTTTTTTTGCTTAGAAATTAAAAAGTCGCATCCCTTTTTAACTACTGGGCTAATCAATAAAATTATTTGGCCAATTAATTTATTTTCCATAGCAAAAGATTAATTAATTAACCTAAGAATTATATAATACCTATTTTCATATGTTTCACCATAGCTTTCCAGACATTGAATAGCAAACATAGTAGCATATGTGAAACAAATAGCCCAAGAACCATACCAGCCTCCATCTTCATATTGAGAATCATATAAGTATTTAATTGCATTTTTGTAAATTTTCCTAATATAAAAGAATTAATTAATATATAAACAGATTACAAATTTAATAATATTTATAAATAAATAAATATATATATTACTTAATTTCATCAGCCCTATAATCAGGATACCATTTTTGGAAGGCATTTAAAGCAGCTAAAACACAAGATGTACATTCTGGATAACTATATTCAACCATAATATTTCCAAAAACTTCCGCAGGATTTAACCATTCAAGAATTTTAAAACCTCTAGTACGTTCATAACTTGCAAATCCTCCATCAGTATTTTGCATAGATAATAAAATATCAATAGTTTGACAAACCCGTTCTTTAGGTATTAATTCTGGTGTGTAACTATTTATGTTAAAAAACCAAAATAAATCTATTTTTTCAATAATTAATTTAAACATTAAGATTTCATACAAAAAAACATACTTAAGTTTTTTCTGAAGACTAAGTACAGCTTTAATACCTACGGCAGCACAATCTGAAACATTATATCCTTGATCACGAGTACTAAAACCCCAAGCGCCTAATGTGTTATCACGATAACACCTTTTAGAATCTTTAGGATTCTTTTTTATTTGTGCATCATCTAAAAATTCAAGTGCATGTATCATTGATTGATGATTTGATGGATCATCCGCAAGTCCTATTTGGAAAAACAAGTTTAAATAAATGAATTTTTAAATTTTAATAAAGATATATATGTACTACCTGTTTCAATTGCTGCAATAGCTGCAAATGCAGTATCCCAAACTTGAGTACCATTTGTACCACACATCATCATTCCTTCTGGTCCTAACCTACAGATAAAACATATAAAATAATAAACTTTAACTTTAATCAATTTAAAATCAAATTTAAAAATAAATTAAAGAACTAGAATATTTCATACCACATATAATCAATTAATCTTTCTTTGGCAAGTTTAAATGTTTCAGAATCTGGCCCTTCCTCATAATATGTACAAAGAATATGTAATACTTTGTTGACCTAAAATTTGAAAAAAATCCTCAAATTTAAATCTTATTAACAAAAATAATTGGGGGTGAGTCAATAGAAATTTTTTGTAATAAAAAATTTTTATAACTTTAAAACAAGAATAACTTAACAAACACTTTACCAAATTAATAAATTTTTTTTAAAAATAATTTTTACAAACTCGTAGAATTAATTTTTTAAAAAAATTTATTAAATTTGATTAAGTTTTGTTACGTTATCCTTGTTTAAAGTTTTAAAAAAGCTTATTAAAAAATATTTGCTTGATTTCTATTGACTCAACCCCAATTTACAAATGCAAATATTAAGGCTAATATTTACAGGAGCAATATCAAGATAATCAGTATTTTCATCTTCACATCTAATTAATTCATAACTTTCTTGAAGAGAAATATCTCGAAGTCCAATTAAATTAGGAATTTTTTCATAAATATTTAATATATCTAAAAATAACAATATATTAGATTTCTCAATAATAATTACTAAGGAATAAATTATAAAAAAGTTAAATATACAATTGCAAAACTTCAATAATTTGGTATGCGGTGCATAAAGGTCAATTTCTGCAATATTATTTCGGGCTTTAGACCAGTTAATTGTCTCATATGGCTGAATATATAATTCCTGCCTAAGTTGCTCAATTAATGGAGTAATTTCAGCACTTAATCTACGTCCATAACAGTACCCCATTGGAAGGTATATTACACGTGTATGAATCCAAAAACGACCTGGATGAAATGGTACAAAATATGGAAGAAGCCTTTTCCATTTATAAAAAAAAGTAAGAATGCAATTGGCAATTGAAAAAACAAAAAACAAAAATTATTATTCAAGAGAAAGAGAAAATCACCATAATTCTGGTGGAATTGGATTAAGCCCTTCCCAATCATATACATTTAAGCTTGCTAACCAAAATTTTCCCCATGAAGGCACGCCAATTGCACCTCCTATTTTAATTATCAAAATTTCACATATAGTAATATTAAAGTATTAATGAATTCTTACAAGAATGATGAATAAATTTGATATTAAACCACTTACCAAGTTTGTGCAAAGTTGCCCTACTCTTTACCATTACTGGATGATCAGGATCAAGACCCAAGATACGAAGTACAACATAATTCAAAGCAGTTCCAAATACTGTTGAATGATGTTCAATATGCCTAAACCAATTCAAAATTGTGATTTCTCCAATCTAATATCATCTCAAACAAATAAAAAAAAATTCAATTGCAAAAGATGGAGAATAAACTTACAATCCCCATCCACCATCAACAGGGTTTGCTTTGTTCACCAAATATCGAATAATTTCAATTCTCCAAACTTCAGGGATAGGAATATGTGTAATATACATTGCGATAATAAGACCTGGTATCAAAAACATTGGCCCGCCATATTCACCTGCCCAATGGCCATCATCAGTTTGTAATTGTTTAAAAAACTCGAACCCATTTCGAGCTGCTTCGAAAGCTGTTTTTGGTTTTTTAAATGTTTTCGATTGCTTTTTTTTTTTTTTTTAATATTCGGATTAATTTTAAACAGGTTAAAAAAAATGCCTGATAAAAAATTTTTTTATTGACAGCCATCCGGAGAGACTTACATAAGGTAATCCAATCCAATACTTATCAACGATAGATTGAGGCCAATTTTTAATCTCATCATCATTGTCTAAATAATGCCATGTCTGTCTACCATGCTCAACTTTTAGTCGCCATCTATTCAAGTCTGTGCTTTTTATATTACTATTCATTTTTCCTTTTTTATATTTACTTTTTTTCTTTTCTTTTATTTTCTTTTAATTTGGTTTTGTTTGTATTCTTTGCGAATTCAATTTTTAATATATTGCGTAGACCGGTCAGACAAATTTTATATACCGATGCATTTAGTGTTGAACAAAAGCTAAATTTTTTGTCTTTATATAAAAAAATTTTTTTTACTAATAATTTGCAGTTATTTAAATAAAATAAATTAAAATATTTATATATTTAATTAATAAAAATTTAATATTAAAAATTTATAAAATAAAAGTGAATAGAATTATAAGCCGAATAGTAAAATGACAGCTTGTAACCAAGTTTGTTTCTATATTGATACGTATGATAATCCGTCGTAATATCGTAACAGAATAAATTATTTAGCTTTTTATAGAGATGCACGGATTATCAAAAGATCGTTTGACTGTCTATTTTTGTGCACACCGATGAGACTTCCATATGAAGAATTTGAACTAATTTAGCTAATTGTCACCTCAGAGGTAGAATTCACTGCGATGAAATGACTTACAGGTATTCTCTCCCGTCACTCATATCGATATCATACCACTTCGGCACACTTTTAAAGGGTTTTTGCCGAATTTTGAATTTTTTACAGGAGGATCCCTAAATTTCCGGGTCGGAATGGCCGGAATGCATCATGGTTAGGGTCGTGGTCAGGGTCAAGTTAGGGTTAGGGTCAGAGTTCAGGGTTAGGGTTAGCAGGAACAATAGTAAAATTATCAGCTGGGCATTTTTTGCTTAATGAACACTATTGTTTCAATAGTAAAATTCTTAGTGATCTTGGGCAAAATTGATCGATTCTGGTCCATCCAACCACGGAATTTTGGGACCTCCCTGTATGTGTTACCAAAAATACACGTTCAAACCGTTATCCGGATTGCCGATCAACGGATCACATCACTAACTCATGCAGGGAGATCCCAAAATTCCGGGTCAGGTGCATCGGAAACCTGGTTGGTTGGGCCGGAATTGATCGATTTTGCCCAAGAACGCTAAGAATTTTACTATTGAAACAATAATCGTTCATTAAGCAAAAAATGCCCAGCTGATAATTTTACTATAGCTCCTACTAAACCTAACTCTAAACCTAACCCCGACGCATTCCGGCCATTACGACCCGTAATTTTGGGGATCCCCTGTAAAAAATCACATCACTAGTGCTCGGCACAACTTAACAAATACTTGTGATTAAATCGGGCATTCAAATGATTGCAGACCAACCAATACTATACTGTATACAGAGAGACCTCTCTAAATGATTTTGGGTCAAAATCCCGAACAACAGATTATCGAAAGAACATAACACCGACTAAATTGGCCAGCATTATGGCTAGTGCCGGCTAACTTTGTCGGTATTACGTTCTTTCGGGGATCCGTTTTTCGGGATTTTGACCCAAATTCTCTCTAAATGCACCCCCTCGGAACTATAGTAAAAAAATTTAAAAAATGTGCACTTAAAGAGGGCGTCATTTATAGAGAGCAAAATATATAGTGCTATTATAAGCTGGGACCAGACTGTACTGTACATTTAATGAGATTTTACATAGAGGGTGCATTTATAGAGATTGCATTTAGAGAGGTCTCTCTGTATATATTTTAGCTTTGGTTGATCTGCGATCGTTCGTTTGACATCCGACTTATTCACAAGTGTTTGATTGTGCCGAGTACTAGGTGCCAGACTTTAAACGATCCCCTTAATAAGTACTCTAAAACGTATAAATTAGAACCACACGTGGCACAATGTGCCACATATTTTATACGTAAAATATATACACGGTATATATAACATATATTCATAATAAAAAGATATATACTGTAGTATTTATAATTGATTTATATAATGAAAAATAAGTGTTATGAGTTCATATAATATTATTATAGTTTCATAATTACATCATTATACTTATAAATAGTTTCTTTTAAGTGTAAATAATCATAACATGCAAAATTAATTCTGTAATATACAATATATTAAAACTAATAGTAATATTTATTTTATTTAAACCTTATTTGTTATTATGTGGAAATAAGAATTTACAGGAAGAATAAATTAATTGCGTGAGGATATAAATTTATAATTAGAATTAAAGCATATCCGCGAATATTTGGAATTACTATTTAAAATTTTCAAAATCTTTAACCATAAATGACTTTTGATCCACTGGTTCGTTTCGGATAATTTTACCATCAAAATGACCGTCTCAATGAGACGATTCTAACGAGTCCAAGATCGTTAAAATCCAATCATGGGACCCCGAGATAGTTAAGGATTTGTGTCACTTCGGGCGTTTTAGGATTGGCTTAATCAATCCTAAAACACTCGAAGTGACACAAATCTCGATGATTTTTGACTCATTAGAATCGTCTCATTGAGACGGTCATTTTGATGGTAAAATTATTCAAAACGAACCAGTGGATCAAAAGTTATTTATGGTTAAAGATTTTGAAAATTTTAAATAGTAATTCCAAATATCCGCGGATACGTCAATTTTTTTTTTATATTTTCAGACTCTATATTGAGTTGACTTTGGATCAGAATAGGGTATGCAATGGGCCCGAACCCAGCCCGTTAAATTATGAGCTCGGCTCAATTTATTATGGGTCTAAAAATCTAGGCTCAGGTCTGGCCCGAACTATGCTCAACCTATATAAATTACCGGGTTTGACCCGGCCCGATTTCATTACAAGCCAGGTCCATTGCACACTCTAGTTCAGAATAATCAATTTTTCCTTTTCAGTTTTAGTAGTTTATACTATATACATTAAAGTTGACAGATAGGGTTTTTTCTGATTTCAGACAAATAATTTACGATAGCTTCTGAAATAGAGCTATGTATCCTGGAACAGCAAGCTTATCTCCTTGGCACAACCAATGATCGACATAATCGCCCCAAAGTTTTCCAATCAATTAGCAATGCGAACGAATCCGAATATCGGTCAATCGGGCTAAATGAAATAGACGATCAGTAATTAATTATTTTTTTTATAATAATTATGTAAAATGGTCTCGATTTAGGGTTTTAAATGAATAATTATCTGAGAATCATTCAATATCGATATTGCAGCAAACATTTGAATTTGGAATCGAAAATGAAAGATTCTTCGGTTATACCTGTGGCCGAAATATTTCGGCCATTTTGGCAGCTTGGCAAATGCTTACAGCTGATTTGAAAATTAGTGGGACACTTGAAAATTTTGCTTGTTTCCCGAAACCTTTCGTATTCGTCTTACGAATCACATCACAATTTTCGGGTCGAAGTTCCGAAGACAGTGATGTGGTTTCCGAAGAGCTGGATGATTCATAAGGCGAATCCGAAAGGGTTCGAGAAACAAGCAAAATTTTCAAGCGCCCCACTAAATTTTCAAATCAACTGTAACATATTGGGATCTTTGCTAGGAAAATCATCCTTCGGGATTCTTATTCATATATAAATCACCTTTTGCTTTATTTATTCGATAGTTTATTAAATAAACTGTCGAATCAGTAAAGTAAAAAGATGGTTTACATATGAATAAGAACCGGCATTCTGGTCTAAGCTTTTCCGAATTAGCCCGATCAGAAAATCCCGAAGGGTGATTTCCTAGAAAAGATCCCATATATGGAGCTGATTTCTACCACCTTTACAAAATTATTGATAACTTTAAGCATTTGTCAAGTTGCCGAAATGGTCGAATATTTCGGCCACAGGTATATCTTTGGCCACTGCTTACAGTATTCCCAGAAATAATACCTATGATTAAGATTCGGATATTACTCAATATCTTTACACTATCTTTACCAACTGTTCTTGAATAAGATCCAGGAATATAACTACATATATTGATACTAATTTGTTATAATATATCTTCCAAACACCTGGTTCTTCACATAGGGTTTGGTTTACTACAAAATCCCGAAAGGACCTAATACCGACAAAGTTGGCCAGCATTAGTTATAATGCTGGGCAATTTGGTCGGTATTATGTTCTTTCGGGAAAATGGTTTTCGGAGTTTTGTGGTAGAACCTTCACATAGAATCCACCAACAAAATTATGTGCAATTTGCAGGCCAAAAAAAAAAAAAAAGAAAGAAATCGATGAATTTCTGATTTTCGATTTCATTAACATTACTTCTGATGACGTATGTATGTCGTACCCAGATTGGAATGAGAATCATTTTTGCAGGATTAATATTTTAGATTTAGGTTTAGGTTTAGAATATAAAAATTTTACTTTTGATGGTATAATTTGAATAAAAATTATAATATTCTTATCCGGGTTCTGAATCGGGAAAATTCCAATCCGGGTACAACATTTATTTAAAAAAAATCTTTTCTAATGGTCAAAATTATTATCCCGGAACAAACTTCTAAAACTTATAGTGACTGAAAAAAATAACTTCCAACAAAAAAAATTATACTAAAGTTCCTTATGTTTTTCTTAGAAACTTCGTGATCATTTTTTACTGATAAACATATTAATTTCTAGAACCATCTTATGAGATTGCATTTGGTGCAACTTTTAAATTTTCTTCATCATATAGTAAATTTTATCGGGTTAAAAAATTAGTAATACACAATCAAATTCTTTACAACATGATGAACGTGTAAATTATATTCCTACAAAATATATATGTTACAAAATAATGAATCTACAACATCTATTTCTGCAAAAAAATATTTAAAAAGAAATCGATTTCTTTTTTTGATCTGCAAAATTTGCAACCCGCAATAAGTGATAATAATCACTATCTAATAGTGTAATTGAATTCAATCATGAGAATTTCAGCCATATCTAAATCATGAGCGCGTCATGAGTACATGGCATGCTCAAAATGTGCATTTGCCCATCTCTAAGTAAACTTCCCACGCTGCCTATCGTATTCGAAAAGGATGTAAGTTTTCAATAATAAATGTTACTTGAAATTTCAATCCTTCTCCGGGTGAATTGCCTTTTAAAAATCATAACTTTTTAATGGCATGATATTAATATTTTTT